GGACACGTGCCTCCAACACAGGCATATTTATGTATACATTGTACACATATGCTAAAGTATGTACACAAGGAAATATACAAAAATATAATTTTTTTTTACCCCTTAAGAACCAAGCATGGATCTGTTATAGAGTAGGTTCCAACATGAATTTTTGAGCTGAAATAGAAGATGTCAATGACATTTGAGCAGGATGCTCAGTGAACACTTGTTGAATGACCCCATACTGTCCCTCTGCCTGTCCACACTGACTCCTGCAGTACTGCCTCCCAGTCCCCTGCCTGTCCACTGCCGTCTGTCCCCCAGCTCTACCCAGTCTGCCCTACGCTCACTTGAGCAAGACGCTAAATGCTTGCGCCCCCTCTGCTACCTAGGAAACCACTGCTGCTGCAGTTGCCCCGGTTATGCCAGAGGAACCTGATGTCCTTGCTGATGGCTGTCCGGCCATCACTGCCCGAAAACAGGCTCCTCCCTGTGCTGCAGATTGCCCAGCAAGACCCTGACCCCTGGCTACGAGCCCTAGGGGAATTGCTGCAAAGGGATCTGGGAGTTGGGGTCTCCACTGAGGGAGCATCCCCACTGTCCAAAAGATGCCAGAGACAGCTTCAAGGCCTGTGTATGCGGCTGGGTCAGGGGGGCAGGAAGCTGAAGTTGCTTCAGAACCCAGACCCCAAGGAGAAAGAAGTGGACAAGGAGGAGGAACACGAGGACTCTCAGAAGCTTGGGAAACGCAGAAAGGATCCAGAGGAGGAGCCTGCCAGTCCTGAGGGGGAGAGGGCCCCCAAAAGGTTCCGGTGTTTGGAAAGGGAGGAGGAGGAAGATCATGAGGAGGAGAAGACTGAACGTGAATCATTGGAAACCCTGGCAGATGGAGGAGGTGCATCATCCATTAAGAACCAGACTGTTGTGAGGACTGAGACCAATGAGGCTGCTCAGAATCTGGCAGATGCTAAGGGCCTAGTTGAGAATGTGGAGTTGCCCAAAGCTGTCCAGGTACCTAGGCTGGGTTTGGAGTGAGCCTTCAGAAGTTGGGGGTTGGTTTGTCCTTGACAAAAGCTGGTTGGAACACTTTCCCAATTAGGATGACTGTGGTCCAAGGAGCAAGGGAGAAAAGAGGTTGAGAGAATCTAGTCTCCATAGACTCCAGAGTGTGGGTGGGGAAGGGAGTTGGTAGAGGTGGGAAACACTTGTTCTAATGATCTGTAACGTGGAGCTAAGGGTGCCAGGCAAGAGGACAGGCTCTGGAGCCACCTCTGGTACCCTGTCCTGGGGGTGATAGACATGTCAGCATCGAGCTTGCCCTCGCAGCTCAAGGCCTGGGTGTACCCCGTTAAGGTTGGATGCAAAAAAGGCAAGTCCAGAGAGTTGAATTTCATACACAGGCCTTGTCTAGTTTGGGTTTTTAAGTACTTTTCAACGTATAGACTTCATGTTCTTGGCTCTCTTAAATCATTTTCCCCCTGGTCTGGGGCCTTCTCAGGAAAGGGAGTTGAGCCTGGGCTTGGGGCCCTACTGTGGGAGTAGGGACTTGGCGGTGACTGGACTCTCCTCCACAGGACCAGCTTCCCAGGCTGCAGCAGCTGCTGAAGACCTCTGGGGAGGTGACTGGCCCCTACTCTGCTTACCATAGCCATTCCTCCACCTGGGACCTCAACCATGCCCAGAGAAGCCCCAGTGCAGTGAGGCCCAGACTGATGGGAGGAGTTGGGGTGGGTATAGTGACCGTCTGAGGACAGTCACTACAGGGGCTTTTCTTGGCCCAAGTACAGATATGCCATCTAATATTAGGCAAGGTCCTTCCTCTGGTAGTGCTTTTGGGGACCTGAGCTACCGCCTGTGCCAATCAAAGGGCTCTGGCAGCCCTAACATTGGATTTGCCTCCCCAGGGGTTGGAGGGCACCCCACCGGTTGAGCTGCAGCTTCTTCACGAATGTAGTCCAAGCCAGGTGAGTCTAGAAAAGATGCCTGGGCTTGAGGTAATGACCCCTCCCCCTTTTCTATTTATGTTTTCTTACCTCGTGGGAATTTTGGGGAGGGATTGTGTTGGCCTTTTTTCTGTCCCTCAGTGGCAGGGGTCACCCTGAGTGTTTTAGCCCTTGGTCCCTCTTCCCTAGAGCAGCTCTCAGCCTTACCTTACCCAGGTGCCCTTGTCTGACTCTTAATTGCTGCCAAGTTGGCTTGAGACAGACTAGAGATGGAGTGTCCTGGTATCCTCCCTCCTTTTCCTCCACTCCCTGCCGGCAGGTGGACCTACTGTGTGCCCAACTGCAGCTTCCCCAGCTCTCTGACACAGGCCTCCTGCAGCTCTGCTCCTGGCTGCTGGCCCTTTCACCAGACCTCAGCTTCAGCAACGCTACCGTGCTGACCAGGAGCTTATTTCTTGGACGGGTAAGTGTGTTAGGAGACACTGGGAACGCCACGGATGAAGGGGGCAGAGTCTGAGCTCTCAGAACGGGGGTGCTTGGGAGAAGGGGTTCCTGACCTTATAGACACCTGGGCAGCCTAAGGAGCCCTGGTGGCACAGTGGTTAAGAGCTTGTCTGCTAACCAGAAGGCTGGCAGTTTGAATCCACCAGATGCTCCTTGGAAAGAAACCCTATGGGGCAGGTCTACTGTGGCCTGTAGGGTCTCTATGAGTCAGAATCGACATGATGGTAATGAGTTTCGCTTTGGTTTTGGCAGCCTGAGTCAAGGAGAGGATGCCTACTTAACTGTTAGGTCAGGGGCCCTGGAGCGTCTACTCATGTGGTGTCTAACTCCTCCCCACTGGGCCCCAGAACCCTTCCAGAAGCTGATCAGTGGGCTTTCAGAGCTTTGGGAGCTGGGGAGAAGAACTATGGACAGTTTGTATGAGCCCCAGATAAAATAACTTCTTTTTTTTTTTCCCTGTAACACTTAACACTGTCTGAAATGTGTGTCTGAAAGAACATTTACTGAAGGAAAGAAAAAATCAATGAATTATTTTTTTTCCTCCCCCTTGACTGTAGATCCTCTCCCTGACTTCCTCAGCCTCCCGCCTGCTCATGACTGCCCTGACCTCCTTCTGTGCCAAGTATACCTACCCCGTCTGCAGAGCCCTCCTTGGGCCTGTGCTCCAGGCCCCAGGCACAGGTATTTCTGGAGCTAGCCCCAGGACTGGTCACTCTGCCTGCTCTGTTCCTAGTACCCTTGACCTCAGGGTGGCCCTGTCAGGGGGAGGGTATTCAGTGGGTAAATATAACTGTTGCTTCCCTCATGTTGCCCCCAGTAATGGGCTGGGCATTCCCTCCCACCAGCCCCACCACCCCCACAGTCCCATCCTCTTCTGCCATTTCCCCCCAGCCTTCTTCCCTCTGCTCTCCCCTGCCAGGTCCAGCTCAAACAGAGTTGCTGTGCTGCCTTATGAAGGCTCTGGAGCCAGACACACAGGTTCTGATGCTGGGGTGAGTGGTAGGTTTCCATGCTGTTCCCACTTCCACCACCTCCTCCCCCAGTCCAGGCCTGCTCCTGGCACTCTGGGGTTAGAGCAGGGTAGGCATTGGGCCTGGTGTCTCAAAGACAGGCAGTTGCTCAGTCAAACCCGTTTTCTCTGTTGCCTGAACTGGCTTGTGTCTTCCCACCTGTGGGCTCATGCAAGTTGCCATCCTGTGTACCTTCCAAGGCCAGGGTTGCAGCCTTCCCTAATTCTGCCCGCTAGATATGGGGGCTGGCTCCATGTCAGGTACCTTGGGGACCGCAGAAAAGAGGCTGATGGTCCCTGCTCTTGAGCAGTTGACAGTGTAGTTGGAATATGGCACAGTGGTTAAGAGCACTGGCTCTGGAATTGTACATGGCTTCATATCTCATCCTTGCCTTTTATTTAATTGTGCAAACTCAAACAAACTATTTCATCTCTCTGAGCCTCAGTTTTCCCGTATGAAAAACGGGGATAATGTTCACTTGGTAAGATTTTTCTGGAGATTAAATGTGATAATGTGTGGAAAGAATTTAGCACAGTGTTTGGCACCTACTAAATGTTCAAAAATTAGTATTAAATTTAGGCATTAAAATTGGGGCATCAAGATATAGATGTGAAACAATGAATAAGCCCTTTATATACCCCAGTGGACACAGGTATGAAATACAAAATTCTAAGGATAATGTGAGAAGGGACAACCTCAAAAATAATATCAGCTACCCTCATCCATCCCTCCTCTGTGTTTTACATTTATTATCTTAGTTAGTCTTCATGCGATTCTATGAGGTAGGTACTGCTGCCACCTTACAGATGGGAGAACTGCAGCTCAGAGAGGTTAAGGGAATTGGCCAAAGGTCATACAGCCAGCAAGTGATGAAGCTTGGAATCAAACCTAAGTCTCTCCACCCAAGAAGCCATACTGTTTCCACTATGACGTGCTGCCTTTTCAAACAAGGTGAAGATTGCGCAGTGGAAAAGGAAGCAGATGGAGTGGACATGAGCAGGGGCTGGGCTCTGTAGGGAAGGCTTGCCTTCTCCAGGCAGCCCGTGTGTCGTCTCAGTCCATCGGTGTTCTCTGCCCTGGCTCTCCCTCACCTTTTGTACTCCAGATGCAGTCTTGACTCCTGCTTGTTTTATAGGGGACCTTTGTATATCTCACTATCAAGTCCTTCATTGACAGCTCTTGGGAATCTTGGGAAGGTCTTGGAACCTTCCCAGCACTGAGTATGGGCTCTGCAGCAGTAGCTACTGGGATGGCCACTAGCATCAGGCAGCTTTGACCACTTACTGTGTTGGCCGGGCACCTTGGCTGTCCCCAGTGTAGGAGCAGTGGTTGCCCAGGCCTAGAGTGGGAGGATGGGCTTTCATCATTGGGGCCCCTGCTTTGCAGACAGATCTTGGAGCTGCCCTGGAAGGAAGAGACTTTCTTGGTGCTGCAGTCACTCCTGGAGCAGCAGGTGAGCATCCTACCTTGGGGAAGAGTGGACAAGGAAGTGCCACAGTGCTGTGGAGGGGCATAGGGCTTCTGGGCTTCTGGTTCCTTCCGGGATGGAGGGGCAAGCAGGGAAGCTGCCTTAACAGCAGGGCACCTGTGACAGTGGGAGTGCCCTGGGCTTGAAAGGGCTGTGGCAGAGAATTAACTGCTTTGAAAATCCTAGCTCCACCTCTTACTAGCTGTGTGGCCTCAGGGGAGGTGTATTTTGATGTGTGTATTCAAATGTAATTTTATTTTTGAATAGATAATAGATCCATAGAGTTCACAATTTCAAAAGCTCAAAAGGAAATAGAGTAAAAAAGTATTCCTTTTACTTCTCTCCCCCAGCCATCTAGATTCCTATCCCCACAGCTGACTAGTGTTACTAGTTTCAGGGGAGTCCTCCCCAAGATGATCTATATATTCAAGGAAACATGGATAAATTTACTTATCCCCCCACTTTTTATAGAAATGATAACAACAGTCTCACTGTGTCTTTATTTTTTTTACTGAATAATGTATTTTGGTGATTTTTCCATATTAGTGCCTAAAATTCTGCCTAATTTTTTTATATCTTAGGTAGTTGACTTAACCTCTTTATGCCTAAGTTTTCTCATTTGTGAAAGGGGCATAATGATAGTACCTACCCCATAAGACTGTGGTGTGGTTTAAATGAGATAATTGGTATAAAGTGCTCAGAAAGGTGCTTGATGCATAGCGTTTAGTAAATGGTAGCTAATATTTTCAAAAGCTGTTGTTATTATGCTGGCAGTGACCCTCGGGACCTCTCACTCCTGTATCTATTCCACCATTAAGCTAGGCTAAGGATCCTTTGCCTCCCCTTGGTCCTAATCTGTGCCTTTGCAACGTAGTCACTATTTTCTGAGATCTGTGTGCCTGAATTTATGTGCATTATCTCATTTAATCCTTTTCACAGTCCTCAGAGTTAGATATTGTGAGCCTCACTTTACAGATGTGGGAACTGGGAACTGAGTCTCAGCTGGGTTAAGCAGCCTTCTCAGGGTCACCTAGCTAGGAAGTGGTAGAGTTGAGAATTGAATCCAGGTCTGGTTAAATGAAGAGCCCAGATCTTTCTTGTGATACTGCTCTATCTCCTCAATGTATACAGGTGGAGATGACCCCTGAGAAGTTCAGTGTCCTGATGGAGAAGCTCTGTGAAGAGGGACTGGCAGCCACAACATCCATGGCCTATGCTAAGCTTATGCTGACAGTGATTACCAAGTACCAAGCCAGTGTGAGTGTCGATAGGGCCATGGGGGCTGGCCCCAGGAAAGCACAGCCTCTCTGCAAGTTCAGGCCCAGGTCAGGGGAGTGGAACTGCTCAGGAGTTCATTCATCCAGCCAACACCTCTATGGACCAGATGCTGTATGGGCCGTTGGGGTGTCAATAGTGACCATAACGCAGTCCCTGTCCTTGGGTTGACCCTCTCCCCCCACCCTGGGCTAGTGAGAAGGGAGAGATACAATAAACAGATAATTGTAACATCTGCTAGGAGCAGGTGGGAGGTGTGCACAGCGTTATTTGTTGGCAGAGGAGGAGGGCACCTAAGCCTTGTTTGTGGTTGGGAGTTGGGAGAGACTTCCTGACTCTTAAAGGATGAGTGGTAGTTAGTCAAGGGCTGGAGATGGAGGAAGGGGCATTCCCAGCAAAGGAGATGGTGTAAGCAGTGAATGTCCAGGGATCTGTATAAGTAGTTAGGGTGGCTAGGGTCTAAAAACGTGAGAGTGGATGGTGATAGGGGGTGAGGTTAGAAAGCTAAAAATAGAGAATACTTACATAGTCCCTGCTTTGTCTCAGGCACTGTTCTAAGCCCTTTACATATGTTAACTCGCTAGTTTATTCCACATGACAGCTCTATAAGAGGTATTATTATTATCTCCATTTTATAGATGAGGAAACCGAGACTCAGGTTAAAGTAACTTGCCCAAGGTGACATTGCCAGGGCATTGTAGCATTTTGTGGAGGGTCTTGTAGGTCATGGTAGGAGCTTGGACTCTATCCTGAAGGCCAAGTCTTCTTGGCTGTTGTCTGTTTACATGTTTCCTGGGGGTCAGACCCATTTGATGACTTGATAAAAGCTGTAGACACCCCCTCAGAAAAATGGAAGTATGAACACACATCTTATGCATCATATCAGAGGGCTCATAGATCCCCTAGAGACCTCTAGATCCCAGAAAAAGGACCTCCAGTATGAGGCATGGGGAGCCATCTGAGGGCCCTCAGCTGGAGAGTGACTTGGTCAGATTTGTACTTTAGAAAGAGGCCTCTGTCCCCCTGGAGGAGTGACGATTGGAGAGTGAAGACGCAGGGCCGGAGACCTGTCAGGATGTAGTAGCAACAGAGCAGGAAGAAGAAATATGGTCTAGAAGGAAGATGGCAACTCCAGTAGAATGTCTCTGAACCTCAGTTTCCTTATCTATAAAATGGGAGGGTTGTGAGGATTTTATGAAGTAATGTATAGGAACTGCTGCCACATAGTAAGCACCCAATAATTGTCAACTATTATTGTGGCTGGCTTTGTACTTTGTGCAGCTAGTATTTGACCCCAGGTCCACCTGAATCCAAAGACCTTGCTTAACCATGTGTAATAATGAGGTAGATTAGATTACTCAAGGGCAGTCTTCTCCCATCGTCCTTGCTTCCTGGCTTCCTCTCCTTCCTAAACAGAGCCCATGATGCAGAGTGGGGAGGGGAGGAAAGGGGTGTCGGAGTCCTGATGCAATTCTTCCTTCTCCCTAGATCACTGAGATCCAGAGGCTAAGCCTGGCCAAGGCCTTAGAGCTCAACACCACCTTCCTGAGGAAGTCCCTGCAGGCTGCCCTAAGACATCTCACCTCCTGACCATCCACCGAGGGACCGCTTGTGGAGCTCCCTCACCAGATTCCTGAAGGACACTTCTGTCCTGTTGAACTTGCCCTGACCCCTTGCCTGAGGGTAAAGGCTGAGCCTGGCTATCCCAGGGACCAGCTGCCTACTTTCCCAGGCTCCAGAGAGGACAAGGGTCTTGTTTTTCCAGCCAGCAGGGCTGCTTCTGCCAGGGCAGGATGAGCTGTCCTTTTCAAGGGCTGCTGACCCTGGGCTCAGTCCTCATCACTTCCATCTCAGGCTCCAGGGACAGAAACTTTCCACTAGGCACCTGTCTTAGTTATCTAGAGCTGCTTTGCTATAAAAGAAATACCACAAGTGGATGGCTTTAACAAAGCAAAGTTTATTCTCTCACAGTTTAGGAGGCTAGAAGTCTGAATTCAGGGTGCTAGCTCCAGGGGAAGGCTTTCTGTCTCTGTTGCCTCTGGGGGAAGGTCTTTGTCATTAATCTTCTCCTGGTCTAGGAGCTTCTCAGTGCAGGGACCCCAGTTCCAAAGGAAGCGCTCTGCTCCTGGCTCTTCTTTCTTGGTGATAGGAGGTCCCTCTCCTCTTTGCTTGATTCTCTCTTTTATAGCTCAGAAGAGATTGACTCAAGATACAACCTAATGTAGATTGAGTCCTGCCTCATTAACATAACTGCCTCTAATCCTGCTGCATTAACATGATAGAGGTTAGGATTTATAACACATAGGAAATTACATCAGATCACAAAATGGTGGACAGCCACACAATACTGGGCATCATGGCCTAACCAAGTTGACACACATTTTGAGGGGACACAACTCAATCTATAACAGACCCCATAGGGTCAAAGCAGACCCAGAGTAGATGCGTGATGCTCCAGGAGCCCTGGGGGACCTGTGTGGTCAACACAAAGCTCTTGTGCTTAAACGTATGTTACAACCTTGTGTGTTTTTATATCTGACATGAATTATAATTTATCAGAGGTATTTAATAAAAAACAAGTTCAATGATGTCTTATTAGAAGCAGTGCCTGCCTTCCCACTAACTCTAGGTATTTGTTGACCCCACCCCAGCCTCTACTCACTGACAAGGGACATTTTTTTCTTGGTGAAATGTTCTGTGGTGAGGTGGTGGTAGAGAGTTTTGAATGTAGCAGTTGAGTAGTTCATTCAGGGTTTGTGGGCCAGATAGTCTGTGATACCACCCACCCCAGCCCTATTAGAGCTGATTGGTAGGCAAGGCCTACCACTGAGAGGAGTGGGGATGGGGGGCTTAAAGGTGAGAGTGACTCAGGCTGGAATTGGGGAAGGCTTCTGAGCAGGTGACATTTGGGGAGGGATCTGAAGGACACCTGAGGTTACTGTGGCCTGAGGAGAGGATGGGGCCTGCTGGACAGGAAGGGCAGAAAAAACCCTATGTGTGCAGTACTGTGGGCGTTATCTTATAGCTTTATATTCTCATAGCACCTAGCTGGGCTCCTTGTTCATAGTAAACACTTGAGAGATAGATGTTATTGAATCAGCTACTATGTAAAAGTTTATTACAACACCTTCCCAGCCCTTTCCCACTGCAGGCGTTGAGGAGACAGGAACAGAACTTTCTTGACACTTCCTTACCAAAACCTCCTTGGAAGCCATGAGTCCCCATTAGCGCAAGATCAACGGGGAGGTTGGCCAGGCGCAGGAATAAAACTTCCTTTTGAGAACTGAAGTTGGGACAGAGGATAGGAAGAAGTGGGCAGAGAAGGTTTGAAGGACAAACACCAGAATTGCATGCTCTCAAGTGACCATTAGATGTGGTAACCTTGAGGTACCACATAAAGTGTAGTATACAGTACGTGTGACTATCAATATTCAAGTCCTAGAAACAGCCCCTTACCTAGTCTGGCAGCGAATGGGGATATTCCAGGGTGCCACCCGGCGCCCAGGGCTACAGCAGCCCGGGTCGGTCGTCCGTGCAGGTTTAGCAGCGGTGCAAGGCTCGGCGGCGCCCTCCAGTGGCCGCAGGCGGTGTTGGAGCGACGCTCGGGCGCTCTGGTAGGGAGCGCGTGGAACAAGGGACTTCTCGCGAGAACAGGGCTCCTATTTGAGTGCATGCGCGAACCCTGCTAGTCTCTTTTCCGGTTACTGCGGTTCTAGAAACCATGAGGTGAGTGGCGCTTAAAGTTCCATTTGCGACCATCCGCACCTCCAGGCACTCGGCCGGGGATGCGGATGCTATGGGTGGAATCTGGAGGCCTTTACCCGGCTTTACTGCGGGGCATTTCTTGCCTGTGGTCTCCTTTCCCGCCAGATCCGGCCCCCCAGGAGTGCCCCGTTTTCCTGGGCCATGGTTCTGGCTGCCGGGCCCAAATCGCCTGACTTGGTGTCCGGAATCCCCCCTGGGGCCCGTCCTGGGCTGTCCCCCGGTCTCGAAGCCTGGAGACACTAAGGTCCCTGAGGCTCTGACCACGCCGAGGCTGTTGAATCTGGTGGCGCCCTGGTCCTGAGCGCCTGTCTTCCCTCTCGCAGCAGCAAAGTCTCTCGCGACACTCTCTACGAGGCGGTGCGGGAAGTCCTGCACGGGAACCAGCGCAAGCGCCGGAAGTAAGTGCGGGCTTCCCAGGAGAGGGCAAGGCCTGGGGAGGTTTGGAAAAGCTGAGCGTTATTAAGGTTGTTGCTTTTCCTAAGGTTTTTGGAAACGGTGGAGCTGCAGATTAGCTTGAAGAACTACGACCCTCAGAAGGACAAACGCTTCTCGGGCACCGTCAGGTTGGCACCGTTCTGACCCCACCCAGCCCTCAGTGCCCCCGTGTCTGTCATCTCCCTTTCAGGCTCCTGCTGAGCCCGAGGCAGGCAGTCACTGCGGTACCGATGTGCCAGGGTAGTTCAGACCCCCTGCTCCGGGCAGGAGTGGCTGAACGGACCCCCACCCTGGGTCTTAAAACATGAGGGGAGGCGTGGGGAGGCCTTGGCCGAGCCCGCCGGCTAGTTTGAGAAGCCAGACTAGCTGTTGGTGATGTGGACACTCTGGGTAAGGCTCCACGGCTGCAGTCCCAGAACCCTTCACCTGCCCTGTGACCCAGGCTAGCGATGACCTGTTCTGTTCTCAAAACGCAGGCTTAAGTCCACCCCCCGCCCCAAGTTCTCTGTGTGTGTCCTTGGGGACCAGCAGCACTGTGATGAAGCCAAGGCTGTGGATATACCTCACATGGACATTGAGGCGCTGAAGAAACTCAACAAGAATAAGAAGCTTGTTAAAAAGCTGGGTGAGTGCAGCTGGTGGTTTTTTATCTGGGAGGGGTTGGGAGGCAGACAGTTTTCACTGGAGAATACCGGTGGACAACTTATACTCTTGCCATTTGAATTTACAAATAAGTGGTTAGAATCATGAACAAAAGCACTTGCTGTGGTTGGGGCTACTAAATAGTGGCCTTTAGTTTGCTTGAATTTGCTTTGGAGATTGTTCTATAAGGGAGGGAGCCCATGCATTGCTTCTGTCTAAGTAGTTGAGATTGAGTTGACCAGCCATTTGTCACTGAGTTCTAATTGAGTTTCTATTCCCCAAGTCTCAGTTTTAGCTACTTTTAGTCTATCTCTGGTGTAGGCAGTGTCACAGGCTCAAGTTCTTAACAGCTATGAAATGTAGAGGCAGAATTTGAACCTAGGCATTCTTGACCAGCGTGGCTGTGGGTTAGCTTGGTTTTCTGAAACCAGATTTCATGTGAGCAGTTGACTGCAGCACACAAGAGGATAGAGCTAATCAATGCTGGAAGCAAGCACCATGCTGGGAATGAGGAGGGGAAGTAGTATTAAAAGACTTTCGGAGGGGATGAAGGGTAAACTGATAGAAGATCTCTATTATAAACACAAGCATGGTTTATCCACAGTGCTCTTCTGGCCGTGCCATGAGTACCCATGTTTGGAAGGTGGTAAGGCACTGGCCAGTTCCTAAGCACCTTATGACTTACTCCCTTTCTTCCCCAGCCAAGAAGTATGATGCCTTTTTGGCTTCTGAGTCCCTGATCAAGCAGATCCCTCGAATCTTGGGTCCAGGCCTGAATAAGGCTGGCAAATTCCCTTCCCTGCTTACCCACAATGAAAACATGGTGGCCAAAGTAGATGAAGTGAAATCTACCATCAAGTTCCAGATGAAGAAGGTAAGGGGGGTTGGCACTGGCAGGGCCCTGAAGTTTACCCACAGGCTGTAAAGGAGCGGGAGGGGTATTAGAGACTCTGCAGTCTCATTCTCTGGATTCACATATTTGGATTCCTAAAACACTAGGGTTGCTGAGCAGGATTGAAGCATTACTGATAACTGGTTTACCAGGGTTGGCCTTGAGGCCAAATACTGCTCATTAGATCCCTGGGGAAATTGAGAAGATGGGCCATCTGGCTGAGGGATGGGCCCACACTCCCCCCACACACTGCCATCCATCCACCAACCTGACTTGAACCTCCCTGGTTTTCTGTCCCCTAGGTGCTGTGTCTGGCAGTGGCTGTTGGCCATGTGAAGATGACAGACGATGAACTTGTATACAATATCCACTTGGCTGTCAACTTCCTGGTTTCACTGCTAAAGAAGAATTGGCAGAATGTCCGGGCTTTGTATATCAAAAGCACCATGGGCAAGCCCCAGCGTCTGTACTAAAGCACAATTCAATAAACCCTAGTGTTACTGTCACCTCTGTGTCTGAGTGACTGGGGTCAGGAGAACGGGGTGCTTTGTGACATAATGTATGTAAAGTAGTATGCTGATAGCTGTACAAGTTTTTGGTACCTTCATGGTGAGTAGTCAGTACCCATACTTCAGACAGGAGGGGATTCTCATTTCCACCTTCACAATCTTACAGGTTCAAAATCTTGGTTCAAATTTCTTTGGATACTTGAAACACATGACAGTAAGGTTGCCACACAGAACTGAATCTTTTCTAATAGCTCTGAGAGTAGCAGCCTACTGGAGTGAGGAGCAAGACCTTCACAAGGAGGACACAGGTTTCTTAATCTGTTGCCCGAAGCTTTTTCCACAGTATTGCAGGTTCTTGGGTTTTGTTACCCCCTAAAGTGTGTACGTAGGAGTCAGTCTGTAGGAATCAGCAGGAAGATTGTTGTAAAATGGAGGTTGGGTTCCAGTGGGGCTGGGATGGAGCTTCCTTGATTATTCTGGTGAAAGTTGTGTTCAAGCTCTGGGAAATCAATCTAGAACTTTAGTTAGCATTGTGAAGTTGTTTAATTCCAACCTGAATACATTGTTTTATGTCAGTCGTTCACTGGTCAAGTAGATGTTCAGAAAGTAGACAACAGACCAACATAAATGATGATAATCTGGAACCTGTGGATGTTTTCTAGGGGGAGCCAACAGTGATGGAAACTTCCAGGGCCTTGTACCATCTCAGGCTCAGCCCCCTCCCTGACTTTCTGAGGTACTTCTGGAGTTCTTGCCTCCAGTACTGGAAAGGTGGCTTTTCGTGTGGTAGGAAATAACCTGTGATTTAAACTTTGACTTGAATCTGCTTCATTTAACTTAGGTAAATAAAGGAACCTGTTCATCTTAAGTTTTTTAAGAGCTGAAAGGTTAATCCAAAGCGTAAATAATTGTTGCTCCAAAATGCTGCACCTTCTCGAAACAAGCTTTATTTGCTCTTGAACCATAAAGAATACAACATCTTCACCATTTAACCTTTTAAGTTATTAATGTGCAGGTAAAATGGCTACAGTCTCATCTCTGGTGACGAGTGACAGATTTTCTATTTCAAGGTAATAAGCCCAGTTGGCTGCTTTCTCTGGTCTGGTAGCGTAGAACTAGAAAACATAAGCCTCTAGTCTTGTTGAATGATTTTCCCAGCAAGGTAAGGAGGGAAAGAAACTGAAGAACTAGACAGGACCCAGTTTTATTGAAGGGAAAAGTATATGCAAGGTAAAAACAATTGGAAGATTATATACTAAAATGTTAACCATGGTTAACTGGGAGTTCAAACTGTTTTTTGAGCTTTTCTGCATTTTCTAAACATACTGTAATGTTTGTAATCAGAAAAGCCAAGAAAACGTATGATTAGAGGAAGGTGATGTAAAAAATAATTTACAAGTGTGAATGCATTTTATGCCCTGTCTCTGTCACAGCCGCTTAGAGGACACTGAATGTACAGCAAGAGAAAATAAAAGGTGTGAGAGCACTTGCTAAGGTGGTGGCCAGTTCTGAGGGCCCTTGATGGGGCCATGTACAGGTTCATGAGATAAAAGTAAACCACCATGCAATCTAAGACCCAAAAGACATTTCTCGGAGAGGATATTAAGGTCATGGGCAGCCAAGGAACAGTGTTTGCACCTTGCATCTTGAGGAACGTCATAGTGGAACAAAGGTTTCAGGAGCGTTTTCTCATGAGTCCCTGCTAGATAGATACTCAACAATTTGGTGCATGCAAGATCAGCCATGTCCATGGGTTTGAATCATGGCTGTCAGCCATGCACGCCTGTTGAGCGAGTTTATTAATGCTAAGCCAGAGGAGATAACGTGTTGAGTGCTTCGCACAATGCCAGGCATATAGTACTCAGTTATAAAATGGTAATAACATATAAGGAGTCCTTGGGTGGTACAAGGAGCCCTGGTGGCTCAGTGGTTAAGAGTTGGGCTGCTAACCAAAAGGTCGGCAGTTTGAATCCATCAGCTGCTCCTTGGAAACCCTTTGGGGGTTCAATGGGTTGGGTGGTGCAAAAGGGTAAGTAAGGGCTCGACTACTAGCGGAAAGGTTAATGGTTAGAACCCACCCAGAGGCTCCTTGGAGGACAGCCTGGTGATCTGCTTCTGAAAGGTTACAGCCTTGGAAATCTATGGGGCAGTTCTACTCTGCACACATGAGTCGGATTCTACTTGACGGCAAATAACTATATGTAGTTACATGTAGTGTATACAGATAAGTGCTGGTCCGGCTCAATCTGGGAATAGATTTTAGTGAGTCTTGGGGAATTAGATAATTCCATTCATGCAGTCCTCCCCAGTATTTCAGTTGAGCTTAGGCTAGCTTGAGTGGAGGCAATCCTGAGAAGATCTCAACTCTTGATGGTGAATGTATCAAGACCCGTTGCTGTCGAGTCAGTTCCGACTCATAGCAACCCTACAGGACAGAGTAGAATTGCCCCACAGGGTTTCCAAGGAGTGGCTGGTGGATTTGAACTGCCAACCTTTTGGTTAGCAGCCAAACACTAGTGCCTTCAAAATCAGCCACACCCTCCTGTTTGAAATAAGCCAAGAATTAAAATCCTTAAATAATTTTGGAAACTAAGGCAAGGTAAATGAGTATCTTACAAATACTTGGTAACTGAGTCTTCCTAGATTATTAATTTGAAATGCTTGAATTGAAATCAGTCCACTCCACTTTATAAATCTATTAAGACGTATTAGGATAGGAATCCTAGGTGGCACAAAAGGTTAAGCACTCAGCTACTAACTGAAAGGTCCACCCAGCAGTGCCTCAGAAGAAAGACCTGGTGATCTACTGAAAAAATCAGCCATCGAAAGTCTTATGGGGCACAGTTATCTGTAACACATGGGGTTGCCATGAGTTGGCATTGACTCAGTGGCAACTGGTTTTATGTATTGGGGTTATTGTTGGGTGCCATTGAGTAGATTCTAACTCATGGAGACCCCCATGTGTTAAGAGTTCCTTCCCCACTTTGTCATTGAGTGGTGGCTAATGCGCTCAACTACTAATCAAAATGCTGATGGTTCAAACCCACCTATAGTGCCTTGGAAGAAAGGCCTAATGATCTGCTTCCAAAAGGTTCCTTGAAAACCTTATGGAGCACAGTTCTCTGTAACACATGGGGTGGCCATGAGTAGGAAATGCCTGGATAGCAACTGGTTTGGTTTTTGGTTTTGTTTTCCCTACTTTGGGACCTTGGAACTAGTCATCACCAGCCTCTGGATCTGTTACATTTGTGTATATGCGTCTGTGTGTGAGCAGGAGCAAGCACTGGCCATATTTCACTTACCATCTGTATGAGAGACCTAGGTTACTCTGAAAGCCATTATTTGAAGGCTGTTTACTCGGGAGAGGTGTGAAGGCGAAATCCCTCGTGATGCTTCAAGCACCCACCCACACACAGAAACAAACTAGTTGCCGTTGGGTCAGTTCTGACTCGTGGCGCCTCCACATGTTGCAGAGTGGAGTCACACGCCATCGTTTCCAGGACTGACCTTTCAGGAGCAGGTTGCTAGGCCTTCCTTCCGAGGCACCTCTGGATGGGTTCAAACCATCCACCTTTGGTTAGTAGTTGAGCTCTTAACCATTTGAGCCACCCGGGGACTCCCAGGCACTCACAAGATATGGCAGAGGCTGTATTTTCCAAGGTCAGTGAGCCGTTTCTTTTTCTGTAAATCAGGACTAATTCCTACCTCACCGGGATAGTTGTGAAGATTAAATAGGAAGGACAGCATCCAGCCCAAGGCCTGGTGCCAAGACTACGTATGTAGTATCACCAGAGACAGAAGTTCATAGTTAACACACTTCCCTACTAACCAGAAGGTTGGAAGTTCAACTCCACCCAGAGGTGCCTCAGAAGAAAGGCATGGTGATCTTCCAAACAATAAGCCATTGAAAACCCTTCGGAGCACAGTTCTACTCTGATACACATGGGGTTGCCAGAAGTCAGAATCGACCCAAAGGCACCTGCTTTATCACCACCAGGCGCCGAGGCTTGGAGTCAGGCAGATTCAGCAAATCCTGGTCCCACCGACTGGCTGAATGAGTAAAGCATTTAACCTCAATCTGTTTCTCCAGCTGTAAAATTGGGGGTGGGACCAGAATGACCTAGAAGCATCTAGAATAGGGTTGCCAGATGTAGCAAATAAAAACACAGGACACTCAGTTAAATCTGAATTTCAGATAAACAATTTTTTTGTTTTAGTTCTGCATGGGACTACTTACACTAAAAGATTATCCGTTGTTTATCTGCAATTCAAATTTAACTAGGCGTCTTGCATTTTATTTAACGCTATCCTAGTCTCACTCAGCATTCGTTGCTCAATTCTGATGTCACAGCCCCTCAAGGCCAAATGCTTGGTCCCTCATTTCAGTGACAAGTTAGCAAGACCAATCAATCCACCTGTATTTAACTACGGTGAAGAGGCTGGATCAGATCATGCCCCAAACCAGAGGCCCCCTTGGGAAAATGTCCATTGAGTATCTTTGGGAGATAACCTCCTGGAGACGCTGTGGTCCTCACTGTGTGAGTACAAGGTGGCTCGGGGAGGAAGAGCAGACTTTCGGGGGTGGATATGAGCAGATTGGAGCCCGGGTGGCGCAGTGGTTAAGAGCTCAGCTGAAGGTCAGCAGTTTGAACCCACCAGCTGCTCCTTGGAAACACTATGGGGCTGTTCTACTCTGCCTTGTAGGGTCACTGAGTTAGAATCGACTCCATGGCAACGTGTTTGGTGTTTTGGGTATGAGCAGGTTGGAGTCTTGCTTCTACTGCTCAGCAGCCATCAACATGGGTCAGCAACTCGCCTCCTCACGTGTCAAATGAGGATGATGATAACCAATAGAAAAGCCACCATGCCTGGGTCTGTGAAGACTGTGGTTTAGCTCCCACCTCAGTAGCCATGTGACCTTGAGCAAATCACCTCACTTACATGAGTTAACGCAACATAAAGAGCTTGGGACAGTGCTGGGCACACAGTAGGTGTTCACTAGTGCCTCACCAATCGGGTGGGAGAAATTTTGGAGTTGGCAAAGCTTATTTTTTTAAGCATTGTAACCAAATCATTTTTATTTTTCCCTTTCAAAGTTATTAAAATTTCTCACAACTGGCACTTTCACTAGATTTTAAGTTCCTCAAGGGGAGAGATTAAGTTTGCCATGCACATATACTTACAGTAGGGGATTTTTATAAACATCATCTTATTTAATTCAATAATCCACAAAAAACGTTCTCTAACAGATGTGGAAGTGAGCCTCAGAGACTTGGTGACTTGCCTAAGGTCCTAAAGTTATTAAAAATCTGAATCCAAAATCCAAATAACCCCTCTTTGAACTGAATTGATAAATTCATACTTGCACTTTGTATGAGTAAATGAAAATGCTTTGGAGTTGGCAAAGCCTTTATGGGCCCTCGAGTCATATCTATTTTGAGTGTGGGTAGTGCTTGCCCCTGTCCCCCATCAGAGATGGGGGTGAGCCAGGAGGGGGATGACACATCAGGACACAGGAACACTCAGGTCCTCCAGACCTTCATCCAGGGGGAACCTGAAGCTGCTCCAACCCAGAGGTTTGGCACACAGCTGGCCACATGATTGACTCACAAACAAATAACTTTAATCTTTTTTTTTTTTTTCTTTTGAGCAGGAGCTGGGCCTGGAGGGCCCCTGCCCCAGCCCTGCGCCGCATTTATGATATAACCCATCACAGCTGGATTTAAAAAATACACAAAAATATATATAATATACATTATAAAACCTAGGTTGGGTTTGGAGGTGGCCTGAGCGATATGCAAACTGTGAGGACCTTCAGGAAGCGCAGGGGCAGAGCGGGTAAGGAAGGGAAGGGGCACAGTACTTCATATGAAACTCATAAATACCCAGAGGTTGCTGGTGCCTGGTGGCCGGCGCTGCCCATAGGCAGCTGTTGGACAGGCCAAGCCGGCTCTGAGGGTTCTGGGTGTCGAGAAAGGGCAGCAGGGGAAGGGTTAACCTTCGGTCCCAGAACTGGGTCTGGGGAGCTCCTGCTCCAGGGAGACTAGGGGGTGGGGGTAGGAAATAAATGAGCAGTACCCACCGAGGGGTCACCAAACCCAAATCTAGGGCAAGAGAGACTATCCAAGCCTTCTGCTATCCCTTGTCCCAGGGCGGATGGTCTCCCTAGAGACAGGGACTCTCCCCTTCCTATCTGGCCCTGGACCTTATTTCAGAGCCCAAGCCTGCCCCAGGGCCTTCCCCCTTCAGGAGGCTACTGGGGGCCTCAGCACCCGATCCGGGCTGGAGGGCTTGGAGGGGTTGGCAGAGGCTCCTGCAGCCCCTGGCTGGCTTGTGGGCTGATAAGCAGGTGCCTCGTACCTGCTGGGCTCCCCTCTTCCTGTCTGGTCACAAACACCTGCTCCCCTGTACTGGGGGACTCTGGGAGGAGGTGCTCTGTTCTGACCCCCAAGGCACCCCCTAGGAAACTCCCATCCTCATTCCCGTCTGTCCCAGCCCCCCAGCGCAGGCCAGCCCCTGCTCCAGGGAGGTAGGTCAACCTGGGCTCTTGGAACAGGCACCCTGGGATGAGAACTCCAACTTTGCCCACCCCTCTCGGGGGTCCTGGAACTTCTCTGAGTCTCCATATCTCATCTGAAACATGGAGATCCCATGCTTGCCTTGCAGGGTCTAAGCGGGGGGCACGAGCTGCACAGGGGGCCTGGCACATAGCAGGTGTAAAAGGCATGTGGACCCCTCTCTCTTCTCAAGCCAACCCCAACCTGACACTCTCCTTCCTGAGGCCTCTTCACCCCAACTCCCTCCGCCTCCATTTCACCCTCACCTGCCCATCATGCTCCCCTGGGGGCCAGAAGGTACCCTCCCATCCCGCCTCTCTGAGGTCATTCGAGGTGGAGCAGAGCTGGGGGCTGGTGGTTTGGTGGCCTGGGCAAGCTGCCCCACCGCTGAGCCCTCCTGGCTTCTCCCACAATGAAAGCGCAGAACAGTGGCAGGGAGTGTGTGTGGTGGGGGTAGGTGGGGAGGCTCCTGGGTCCTGGGCCTGGGGCCTGGCAGGCAGATGTGTCCTCAATCCTGGACCCCCCAGGGGTGCCAGGTGGGTGTATGGAAAGGATGCTTGTCCTGGATCCTGGTGGTGAGGGGCATAAGGCACCCTAGTCTTTGACAAGCTTGTAGACGTGGTGCTGGGCCCCGTGCTCGCTGGTGGAGACTTCAAAGACGAAAGCAATGACAAGCAGGGTCTCCTGGGAGTCCCGGCTCGTTACCACCTAGGGGACAGGCAGCAAGATTCCAGAGGTCAGGCAGAACAGGGCCACAGGGGAGGGAGGCCCAGCAGACCCTTCTCCTTTCTAGGTCTCAAGTTTCCTCATCTGAGCAATGGGACTGGCCTCCCGCCTTTGGAGGCCCCTGGCCTGTGGCTGTCCCATAACTCCCCTGCCACCTTGCTCACCTGCAGGATGGTGAAGTTCTCCAGAACACTGTTCATCATGTACTTCTCAGGCAGGTGCTTCAGCTTGTGGATGAAGTTGATCATGTACTCGCACATGGGCGAGCGGTGAATGCGGTACACGAAGCGCCCATTCTCCAGCCGGGCGTACTCAGTCTACAGGGAGCCACGGGTAAGGCATTACCTGGGCAGGCCTGCTTCCCAGCCCCATCATGCCACCCAGAGCCCCACTTACCTCCACCTTCTCCACCACCTGCTTGCCAAAGGAGCACACCTTGGTGGAGACGCTGATGGTCATACTATCAGCTGAACTGTACTGGGAACTGACTCCATAGAAGGCTCCTGGGCCCTCCTGGATAGTGCTGTTGAGGTCGGCCTGGAGGTGGGGCAGGGAGGGTGACACGTGCTGGGAGAGGCCAAAGGAGGCATCCCGCCATGCCGCATCAGAGTCCCCTCAGGACCTATCTCTCTGCGGGCGCTCTGCCCACAGGCCACAGGGCAGGTCAGGGGTCAGTGGCTGGGCCTGGGGTGCTGTACCTCTGGGGGAGGGTGTTGGGAGCAAAGCAGGACCAGTGCACTCACCCAGAACTTGACAAGGAAGAAGGCATTAGGGGGGCCCTTCTCATAGAGCTCCTTCAGCCCACCTTTCTTCTCGGGAAACTTGTCATAGATCTGGCGCACGTCCACCGCCTCCAGGGGTGGGTCGGAGAAGGCGGGGTTCGTCTGGCCGATGTGCACAAACAGGTGTTTGCTGTACTGTGGGGAGGGCCCAGGACAGGGTCAGGAGAGTACTTGAGGGCGCAGGCCTGGGGGCTGCTGCACCGGGACAGAGCTGTCCTGTGGCTTCCTGAACAGGCTCGACCCCCACCCCATGACCCTGAGAGACCTCCATCTTCAGCCAGGAGCTGTGACCACAGGTCACCATACTGGAGTGCGCTTATGATTGCATGAACTCTTGCCCTGCCCCCAAACACTTTACCGTGTCAGGGTCTCGCTGCACCTCCATGAAGGCCGAATACTCGAGGAGCCGCAGCCGGGAGGAGGCGATGGTGCGGTCCTGCCACACGGGCACAGAGGCAGCAGCTGGGGGCAGCGGGGCCAGAGGCTCGTAACCTGGAGGGTGAGATGACCCACATCTGCATGGGTGTGTGGTCACATACGGATCTGTCCCAGGCTGCACAGAGCCTTTGTGCAAATAGAAAATGGCACCCCTTTGAGTAGGAACACAAGTTGGATGTTTACTCCCATCAGCCTCCTGGGCCAGGTGTCCTTGCACAGTGTACTACCTGCACAACCATGTGTGGTGGCCCTGGGAGTGTACATGAGTTATTTCTCCTCACTGCATTACTGATATGTGTTCAAATAGAAAACACAGAGAAGTAAAAAGGGGAAAAATAAAAACCACCCAGAATCTGAGCGCTTAGACAGAGTGAAGCCGTGTTAAGTAAGTTCTGGTATATTTCCTTACAGAGACTTTTTCTATCCGTATATATGTGTGTGTATACATGCACAGGCACACACACATATATAAATAAAAATATTTTCTTTTTCGGTGGGTGTGCTTATAACTGTGTGTTGGCTATGAGTTCTAGAAATGACATTGTGAAAGGTAAAGGGACTATTCCCGGCCTACTCCCACCCCCTATAGATGCCATGCACCCCTCCCTCCCAGGGCAAATAAACACACAGACACACACACACAGACACACACAGACACACACACACAGACACACACACAGACACACACACAGACACAGACACAGACACACACACACACACACACACAGAGAGTTGGGCCCCAGCTCTCCTGAGCAGACGTGTAGGTGCCAAGGGAGAGAGGTGGTGGCGGCAGCCTTGTGTGGGGAACTTACTGCTGAGCGTCGGCGGCAGGGGTGGCTGGATGGGGTAGGCTGGCTGTGCAAAGGGCTTGATGCTGCAAACAAGAGCACAGTCTGGTTGGAGGCCACCACCTGGCCCAGTCCCTCATCTAAGACGCCAATAGGGAGCCACTGAGCCTTTCTGCTGAGGCTCAGAAATGCATGCTGACAAGGTAACTCGCAAGCTTTTTGTTTTCTTCACATTTTAACATTTACAAAATCCTGCCGCATCTCACATTTCATATAGCGTTTCAACCCCACTCACCCCAGCCCCATCCTGAAAAGCTGTTCATTAAACTTTTAGAGGGTGTGTCTTACAATGAAAGTTGTCTTAGAATTGAAGAAACTGAGTATGGACAACTGAGAGATTGATTCAAAGATTAACTGAGGGAAAAATAAACAAAGGGATTGATGATAAGTGAATGAGTGGGCTGATGAAAGAACAAACACAGGAATCAACAGATAGATTAGCTCTTTTTACTTGTGCTTTCCTTCCCTCTATTTTTGATTTAAAATTTTGTTCAGCTGTTGCTGGGATCCAGCTGGGGAGCAAGCCTAGCCTGGCTCCCAGGAGGAAGAAGATGATGTGGGAAGGATGAGCTACAATACTTACTCCTGAGAGGGTCCAGGCTGCTGTCCCAGGAGAGGGGGACTACTCCAGAACTGCAGAGACAGGACAAAGCCAAGGGGGCCCTCAGTGTCCATGACCCCCACCAGCACCCAGCCGTTAAGACACAACCCACCCCAGTCCCACCTTCCAGGACCCCTGTACCCGTGAGGAAGAGGAGAAGACAGCCTGGGGCAGAGGGGAGGGTGGGCTGAACTTGTTCTGCAGGACACTGGCAGAGACGATCTGGGCGGAGGACATGGATGCCATGCTCTGGAGGGCTTTATCCTTGGAGACCTGGTCCTGGAGAGCGAAGGGGCAAGGTGAGGTCTGGGCCAGGCCAGAGACCAGGGCTCTGCTGCAGGAGGGCAGGTCTGAGCAGGCCATCAGGGCCTTGGGAGTCCAGGTCTGGATTCTAGTTTGGCTCTGCTATGTGTTCTTAGGAGAGTCTCTATCCCTCTCTGAGTCTGTCCCGTAAGTGTACGTCATCCCTATGACCACAACTCACAGCAAGAAATTATTTTATTCTGTAACCCAATACATACCACAACATTTCTCATATTTTCTATTCTAGTTCATCAGTGGCTCTCAAGGTATGGTCTGTAGACCACCAGCATCAGCATCAGCTGAGAAACTGTTAGAAATGCAAATTCTCAGGCCCCAGACTCACTGAATCAGAGACTCTGGGGATGGGGCCCAGCAATCTATTTGAACAAGCCCAGGTGATTCTGATGTGTGCTAAAGTTTGAGAACCACTGTGTTTCATTTTTTAAAAAATGCTGCTTAAAACTTGAAAAGGTTAGATAGAAAGCTTAAGGGGGTAGTGAGTTTATGTTAATGGGGGAGGAACAGTTCAGAAAAGGAGGGTGAGAATAGTTGCATAACTTGAAGAATGTATAATCAATGTCACTAAATTGTACACGCAGAAATTGTTGAATTGGTGTATGTTTTGCTTTGTATATTTTTAACAACAAAAAATAAGTTATTAAAAAAAATGCTGCCGTCTTTAAACTTTAGCCCCAAAACACCTTTGTTACATTACTTTTAAAAAAAGTATAAGACTAAATGGTTAACAGTTATTTCAAAGCACAGATTAGGAGGCAGAGAAATTAAGTAAATGGAAGTGAAAAAAGTAGAACAGAAATAATGGGAATGTTGACACAATGTAAAGAATTTAACCAATGTCACTGATCACTATGTTTACAAACTGGAATGGGAGTGGGTTTTGCTGTGTATATTTTCACAAAAAAAAAAAAAAAAAAAAAAAAAAAATGCTTTTTGCAACCTATTAAATTGATTTCACAATTCATAGTTTGAAAATCCTATACTATACCAAGTGCTAAGACTCTTCCTCCCTACCCCCTAACCCCAGCCTGGGGAGTGGCAGAGCTACTTACCAGGTTCATGGCCTGAAAAGGAAAGAGGGAAGATGGATTAGAGGAGACACAAGGAAGGGCTGTACGAGGTGAGGGTGGGGGGCACAGCCTTCCCCTCCCTCCACCCAATGCTCGCCTGGCTCTCAGCTCCTGAAGAGGCCAGAAAAGCTTACAAGGTGCTGTGGACCACCCTTGCCCCCCCGCAACACCTCCCCCCATAGGAAGTGCTTGCCAGCTAAGGTTGCCCTGGAAAGGCTGGGGTAAGGGAGGAGTTGGCTGGAGACCTGGACAGTTGTCCAAGCTGGCGTCCCCTTGGGTCTGGCCATGTTCTCTGGAGCTGTGCTACAGGTGTGGGGGGCTGAGGGTGGGAGGCCCAGTCAGCTGGGCAGCTGTGGGTAGGGAGAAGAGGACGCCGCCTACTGGGCCCAGGCCATAAACCCCAGGCTCTGAGATCCTCAGCCACAGAGCAGCCAGGACGAAGAGTCTGACTCAAGGTACGGTGCCCGCCACTGTAGCCCTGCCAGCCAGCACCCTCCAGTGCCTCCTGCCTGCCCACCTGAAGGCCCCGTGCAATTAGCAAGCAGCAATTAGGAGGAAGAAGGAAAAGGAAAATGGAGAAAAGGAGAGATGGGCCTTAGTGGTCCCCAGATGGTCTCCCTCTCCCTCACTGTAGGGATAGCTATCCCCTTGGGCTCCTGCTCAGTCCCCTCTGGGCTTCCTGCTGTCGCTGTTTCCGAGGCCCTCTCATAGTTCCCCAGTCCTCTCCCTGCTCCAGGCTGGGGTCAGAGAGTAGCAACAGGCCTGGGCCCGGGAGGGTGTATGGCAGGGCTAGGCCAGATGGAAGGGGACCCCGTACCTTCAGCTTGGACTGAATCTCCCGAGATTTCCGCCTGGCTAGAACCTGCAAGTGGCTAGAGACCTGTAGAGAAAGAGAGAGAGAGAAAAGAACAGAAAGAGCAGGAGAGGCAAGAACAGAGCTTCAGCCAGAAAACAGGCACATGGAGCTGGAGAGCTGGCCAAGGCGGAGGCCTGAGCCGTGCAGAGAGAGTGTAGAGGCCGAGGAGGGGCTGGAGGCCCCAGCCAGGTGCCCAACGTACCTTGATGCCAACCTGGTACTCCCGCACCTTCTTCCGAGCTAGAACCTGTATGTGGCTGGACACCTAGGGGTAGCCCCGAGTCCCACCAGAGAGGAAAACACAGACAGTGAGGACACACAGCCACGGCACAGCCACAGGCAAGGGGCACCCCAGCCCTCATCTCTGGGAGACCAAATGTAAGTGGTGGGGGGACTGTGGGGCCCCTGCGGGCAGACACCCCTTGGCCCTGCCAATTCTGCTCTCAGCCTTGCCTTGATCAAGAACTTACAGCAGCTTCCAGGGCCACCAACTACACTTGTGTAGGTTGTTCACCTGGCCCAGAGGGCACGAGTGAGGGCTGAAATCCAGCCCAAGCTTTCCTGGCCAAGCTATGTGCCCTGGTGCAGGGATTCATCTACCCCAGAGGATCTCCCCACTCAGCATTTTTTTTTTTTTTTCCCAAAAAGGGGCTTTTTCTCATTGGTGCCCTTGGAGGAGGCATCTTTTTCTAATTGGCACCAGAGAGGCTAGAAATGGCCATGGTGCTCCTGCTGAGCATTGGATGAGTGCATCAAGGCCATGTTCTTTACTAATGCTCTTCCCCGTACCACTGCCTACATCCTCCCATCAACACCAACAGCTTGCTGGCCTGTTAAGCCAGCCCTGGTCTTGCCCCTGCTTTGCTCATACAGCTCTTCCCCAGCGTGCCTTCCTTTTCCTTGGACTAATATATGCGACTATATGTATGTATACAGTGTTGTTGATGTTGGCCCCTGACTCATGGTGTCCCCATGCACAACAGGATCAGACCATTGTGATCCGTAGGGTTTTCACTGGCTGATCCTCAGAAGTAGATGTCTAGGTCTTTCTCCCTAGCCTTTCTTAGTCTGGAAGCTCCATTGAAAACTGTTCAGCATTACAGCAACATGGGAGCCTCCACTGACAGGTGGGTAGTGGCTGCGGATGAGGTGCACTGGCCAGGAATTGAACCCTGGTCTCCTGCATGAAACATGACAGTTCTACCACTGAACCACCAATGCACCCACATGTATACAGTAGGTGCTTTTAATTACATTTCTTCCCCAGCAACCTCCTCCCTGAAGCTTTCCCTGGCAAACGTGAGCTACCCAGGCTCTTGGTGCGTGCCATGGGCTTGCAAGCCTGGCTTGCACAGCAGACTTTTGACATTGTCAAGGACTTGACCCTGAGCCTGGGAGAACCCAAAAGGCACAGCTTTCACCAGGAAACACAAGATCCTATAGGCTGCTTCACACTTGTGTTATAAGTGACTGTTGTCGGCTTTCCTTACAAGTTGTTTTTATAACCACAGAGAAACAGTTTCTTTTTCCTTCTAATCACAGACTGGAAGTTAGTATGTATGTGGCCCTGGGAAGCCCCTGATGCTTGGTTAGGAACTGAGTGCTCCTTACACTGCCCACAGCACATAGGAATCAGACTCATAACCCAGCAAAATTACTAATCACTTCATTTCATGACAATAGCTGACATTTCCTGAGCACTGATCCTACTGGTCTCACCACTTTACACAAACCAACTCATTTGATGTTCACAACACTAAGAAGTAGGTACTAATATTATCCCCATTTATAGATGATGAAATGGAAGCACAGAGAGGTTAAGCAACTTAATCCAAGGTCACACAGCTGAGTGCTACAGCTAGGATTCGAACTAAGGCGATCTGACTCCAGAGCCCACTTGCTTTACCAGCAAGCTATGCTACCGGGCCTCTCCTTTAAACCATTAGCACAGAGATCACCTCCAGATGGTAGACATCTCAAATGTTAACTGTGACAGCTGAAAGTTACCTGGGACTTACACCTGTTTGTATCCGAAAAAACCTAAAACTGCATTTCCTTACCAAAAATAAAAATGACCAAACAAATCTTGCTTGTCAGCTGGTTGCTTTTTGTGACACATGAAGATGTGACTTGTCTTTACAACCATAGGCTGGGTCTCCTTTAAAGGGGATATTAGATATAAAAATCCACAGTTCTAAAGAAGATGAACATTAAAGAGGCTTGGCCTTGCAAAATGATTAAAGGCAAGGGTTTTTTAAATTCTGAGCTTGCCGACAGCTGGCTCGTAAAACCTCGAAGTACAGGCAACCTTCTCAGGGGCAGGAATGATGCTGGACTAAGAATTAAGAGGCTGGGGCTAGGTCCCACCTCTAGGCCTGAGTTCTTTCACCTGCATGACAAAGTGACTGAGCATTGCAATCCCTTGGCCCTTTCCTGCTCTGACAAGCAGTTTCCTGTAAATACATCTCCTGGGGGAAGCAGGGTAGGCTGAGGGTGCTCTGCTCCTGGCTAGGGATTATTAACAACAAACAAACAAAAACCCTTTCCATCAAGTCGATTCTAACTCACAGCAACCCCAGGTGTTACAGAGTAACTGCCCCATAGCGTTTTCTTGGCTGTAATCTTTACAGAAGCAGATCACCAGGCCTTTCTTCTGCGGTGCTGCTTGATGGGTTCGAATCACCAAACTTTAGGTTAGCAGCCTAAAACATTTGCACAACCCAGGGACCTTCAAAGCCCTTACAGCAACTTAAAAACAAAACAAAAAACAGCTGCCATCGAGTCGATTTTGACTCATGGCAACCCCACGTATTACAGAGTAGAACTGCTCCATAGGGTTTTCTTGGCTGTAATCTTTACAGAAGCAGAACACTAGGCCATTCTTCCACGGTGCTGCTGGGTGGGTTCGAGTTGCTAACCTTTAGGTTAGTAGTTCAGTGAAGACTGTTTGTGCCACAAACAGTAATAATAACAACAGAAGCAGTAAATTTTTATACAGTGCTTATTATAAGTGTCTTCACATAGTAACTAATTTAATGGCTGAGGAAGCGGAGGCTGGAGGAAAGCACTGGTCCTCCAGGTAGTACAGCTTGCATTTGAGCCCACAGGCAGTGGCGTCACTAGGGCTGGTGTCACTCAGCGTGGTGACTCATGGCGTCACCACCCCCCTGGGACCTCCTCCTGTACCAGACCAAACAGAATCCTTAGTCATGTTTTTTGTACTAATGTTATTCATAAATTGTAATTCCCGCATACCACTCCTTCTTTTCCCTTAATTATTACTTCATTCTCAAAAAAGTTATTGATATAGGTTCACAAATACTAACTACCACAATATTGTAGCTAAGACACCAGAGAATTTGACAAAATCGGCAACCATAAAAACACTGGGAGCAATGCAAACAGCGGAGCTTGCAGCACGTGCAGACGAAACCACGTGGGTAATAATGACAGCTCTGATCAGAGTGCATTAGAAGGTTCAAAAAGTAAATTAGCATAGAGTTTTAGCCTTATAGGTATATTGATACATGTAAGCTGGGCTTATGAAAAATGTTTTTATTGTTATAACTAACTAAAGGGATTTTTCTTTGTTTTCACCAACAGAAATGTATTTTCTCACAGTTCAGGAGGATAGAAGACCAAATTCAGGGCACCAGCGCTAGGGGAAGACCTTCTCTCTCTGTTGATTCTGGGGGAAGATCCTCATCTCTTTTTAGCTTCTGTTCCTTGGTTCCTTGGTGATCTCTATGTGGCATCTATCTTTCCCCATCTGTACTTCTTTGCTTCTGTGCCTAATCTGCTGTTTTGTATCTCAAAAATGACTGGTTTAAGATACACCCTACACGGATATGGCCTCATTAACATCACAAAGAAAACCCTGTTCCACAGGTATGTTGTCGTTGGGGGCAATCAAGTGGATTCCAACTCAGAATGAGGACCCTATAGGACAGAGCAGAACTGCCTTATAGGGTTTTCTTGGCTGTGATCTTTATGGGAGCAGATCGCCAGGTCTTTCTCCTGCAGAGCCACTAGGTGGGTTTAAAACGCTGACCTTCTGGTTAGCAGCTGAGCGCTTAACTGCTGCAACACCACGGCTCCTTTCTGCATTATGCTGTAGATACTTTCAGCAATTTTTAGAAGGAGGGACAAGGGCTTTTCCAGGTGAAACAAATTGCCAAGTTCAGAAGCACAGAAAGCAGAGATGAGAGCTGTGGCGTCTTTGTGATGGTTGCTAAGCGCAGAGAGGCACTACTGGGATATTTTTTGTAGACAGTCATAGTGACATTCACAGTGTCACCAGGTGTGGTCCTCACCCCCACACTCCCCTAGTGACACCACTGAGCCCAGGGGTCTGACCTCTGAGTCTGGGCTCTTACCCATCAGGTACTACTTCTCCTGTAGCTCTAGGCTGCCAGGAAACAGGGCCCTGGTCTGTCCAGTTCCCTGCTGTATCCCTAGTGCCTAGAACATAGTAGTTGCTCAATAAATTGCTGAATGAATAAATGCTGTGTCACATGAACTGGGAGGGTGGTTAATAAATGCTTAAACAAATGAGGGATCATTTTCCCTCCCACTCTGGGTGGGGCCTCAGAACCTTCTTTTGAAGAGGGGGTCGGATAGATCAAGCTTATTGTATGCATACACAGGGACCTGCGGAATGTGGGCGTGTGGTCCAAATCCTACCCAGACCCAGAGGTTAGGGGGTCAGGCTGTCCTCGGGCTCTGGGTGCCAGCCTCCAGCCCTCCCTCTCCCAGCTCCAGGCCTTTCAGAGATGACTCCCAGGCACCCCAAGTGGAACTCACCCCAACACACTCCTCCTTTGGATTCCTGTTGCCACATGCCACCCTCCCTGGACCCGAGGCCACCGATCATCTCTCAAATCATCATTTTTCTCCATTCCACTTTTTCTCCATTCCACTGCCACTTCCCAGGCCACCATCACCACTGATCCAACTCCCTGCCTCTGCCTCCTGGCTAGTTTCCCACCTCTGCCTGGCCTTTTCCAATCCATTCCCTGTGCTGCCCCAGGGCCATCCCTCTCTACCCTTCTGTGGCCCCCAGCTGCATCTCTTCGGTCTTCTCACCCCTTCCTCCCTTCCCTCGACCACACTGCTGACTAAGGGTTCTTTCCTGCCCAGTGGGCTGAACTCTGGATCTGCAACCTACCAGCTGAGTGACCTTGAGGAAGTTACTTAACTTCCTCGTGCCTCAGTTTCCTCATCTGCAAAATGGACATCATTACTGTACCTATCTTGTAAGGTTGCTGTGAGAACTCAATAAATTAATCTACAGTAAGCTCTGGGTTCACCATGATTACTATTTGTCTGTGTAACTTCTCAGCCTGGAAGGACCCTTTCCCTTTTCTCTGCCTGGCTAACTACCATCCCCTCTTAACAATGCATCTTGATGAATTCATGAATGTTTTGTTGGATATATTTTCACGACATTAAAAATTTTTTTTCAGAAATGCAATACAACAGAGAGTCCCTGACGGAACAAGAGAAAAGTAGGGTGCAGAACTCAAATTCTAGTAAAAGGACCAGATTTAATGGTCCTACTGAGATGGGAGAAGCCCCAGAAAGCATGGCCCCTGGACTCTCTGTCAACCCAGAACTAAGACCATTCCCAAGGCCAATGCTTCAGACAAAGATTAGACTGGACTATGGAACATAAAACGATACTTGTGAAGAGTGTGCTTCTTAGCTCAAATAGACAGATGAGACTAAATGGGCAGCTCCTGTCCGGAGGTGAGATGAGAAGGCAGAGGGGGTTAGGAGCTGGTTGAAGGGAAATCAGGGGTGGAGAGGAGGAGTGTGCTGTCACAGTACAGGGAGAGCAAACAGGGTCACATAACAATGTATGTATAAATTTTTGTATGAGAGACTAACTTGAATTGTAAACTTTCACTTAAAGTACAATAAAATTAAAAAAAAAATAAAAAAAATGCATCTTGAAACAGTGGTGATGGCTGCACAAGGTGAATGTAATTAATGTCACTGTATGCATAAAAATGGTTGAAATAGCAAATATTTTGTTAAATATATTTTACCACAAAAAAAAAAAAAAACGCTTCCCATGTGTCACCTCCTCTGGGAAGCCTTCCCAGCCCTCCCTTCAGGTCTGGGTTAGCTGAGTGTCTAACAGTGCCCTGCACACACCTTGATCGTGGGCTGTGCCTCCCTGTCTTGCCCAGTCCTTGCCCACCTAACTGTCTATCTCCCTGATTGATCAGTGGGCTCCTCAGGGCAGGAACCATGTAGCTGCCTCTGAAGCCCATGGGGTTTCTCTATAGTCCCTGAAGCAAAGGCATGGGCGGGGGTGGTGGGTAGTCAGAGGTGATGATGCCCCTTTCTCTGGGATAGTGGGCCATCTCTCTAAGAGAAGTGGGAAGGATGATGAAGCAGCTTGGATGAGTGAGGACGGGAGCCAAGCTGAGGCAAGGGAGGGGCAGAGGCTAGGAGTGATGGGCCAGAGTGCAGGCACAGTGAGACAGGGGCAGTTCCAGACAGGCAGCCCTGGAAGAGTGGGGCGAGGGGCTGAATGAGGCCGCTGAGGGTGTACGTGTGGGCAGAGGGGCCACAGCATAAATTGTCTCTTTACCTGTTTTCTCGTCCGAGTCTTCCCTGTCCTCAATTTAATATAGCGGGCAATCAACTCATTCCGACCTAGATTGGGGTGAGAGAAAAAATGAGGAGTGGGCAAAGGGTGGAGACGGTGGCTGAAGACTCCCCACCCCAGGGAAACCACACCAGGGCCCTCCTCAAAACACTGCTCTTTATTCATTCCCCGATGCTCTTCACTCCAACTGCCCCCTAGGAGGCACAAGCAGGGCAGGCAAAGGGTGTGTGTTGCACTCCCCACCACCGCCCCCAGCCACCTGTAGGACCTGGGAAGCCGCTCACAGGGGAGGGGGCGGGTGGGGGATCACAGGGGCAGCTTCAGGAGCAGAGGAGGAAGAGGGAAGGGTGGAACAACGTTTAGCGGCCTTGACAGGTTTCCCTGCAGACAGACAGGGCCAGGTGTGGCCGTAGGTCAGCAGGACAGCTGGCTGTATGCGTGGGCCAAGGGGGGCCTCTCCTGGCACAGCACCCTTCACACCCAGCCCTCAGCAGTGCTGCCTCCCTCCCTGTGTATGTTGCCAACTCTAAGTCTCTGAGTGTGCGTGTGTGTGCACACGCATGCGTGCGTGAACGAGCCCCTCCCCAGGTGGTGGACATCTCCGCACGTGTCCCCATGAGTGTCTGAAAGAGTTCTGGACTGGGTCCTGTCCCAGCTCTATCCCTGCCATGGAGGGAGACCCTGGACAAGTCCCTTCTCTTCTCTGATGAGAGGCAGGGAGGACTGGACAGTCTCCAGCATGCCTCCTGCTCTGACAGCCTGTGTTGAGATGTATCACTGAGCATGTCACCATGTCCTTGTGCTTGTCACCTCATGTCACCGGTTACCAGTATCTCTCTCACCCTGTAAGAGACAGCCTAGCTGTCAATTAGCCTTGGAGTTGGGGTCCTGCTCAGCACCATGGATACCTGAGGGCCTTTGGGGTACAGGAAGAAGTTGGCCAGCGGCCAGCGGCTCAGCACCATGAGGAAGGTGCTAGGGACACATGGCTCAGTGTATGTTGCATCTTTAGGGCATATACCTCTCACCCCCCAAATCCAGGCCCCCTGTCCCCCAACCCTATGGCCTCCCCAGAATGGGCCACATTCTCCAAATTCCTCTCCAATGACAGAACCAGCCCTGCTGCTCCTCCCTTCCCACAGGCCCCTATCCACTCCACTCCCTCTGCCCTGTCTAAAAATACCCTGTGGGGCTGCCCCAGCCATCTGGGAGGTAGCAGTGGGGGCAGGCAGCCCCCGCCCGACGGAAGGCGCCCGAGAACATCTGCCTGTCCATGAGTGGGGCTCTGAGAGCGAGCATGGTTGGCGAAGGCAGCAGGGGCAAGGGACCTGGGGTGCCCAAACCATTTTGCCAAGCTGCCTCCCTCCAGCACGCCATGGCCCTGGATGCCAGAGGGGAAGGCCAAGGGCCTGTCTCACCCAGCCACAGGCTGTTAGGGATAGCTGGAGGGAGCTGGCAAGAAGCCAGGCCCAGAAGGGCTGAGTTATCCCAAAAATGCAGCTCTGGAAGAGCCCTCTCAGGGCTGGACAAGAGGGAACATTCCCTTCTGGAGGCAAGAGGTGGGCAAGGTGGCAAGCAGAGTGGCCAGAAGAGCAGCAGAGACCGGGGCGGGGGGGTTCTGAGGAGTGACTGAGTCTCCTCTCTCTCTAGCTCTTCCCCCCTCAGGCCTGTCACACTTGGTCTCCCACCACCCCTGTAGCCCCACCGGTCCCCCACAGGCCCTGTCACACTTGGCGTCCCACCACCTGGGCAGCCCCACTGTCCCTCAACACATGCTGGATGGTGACTGGGAACTTGCCCAGTGGGAACAATGGCTCGGTACGGAAGTCGCACCCAGGCCTCACCCCTGGGGCTTCCCAACCTCCTCCCAGAGGAGGGACCCTCTCCCAGCCCTAGCTGCAGCAGGCTGGACTGACCCAGTTTCCTGGGCCCACTGAGTCATCCTGAAACCTCCAGGCCAGTGGGGGGAGGGAGGGAGAGGAGCAGCCGCGATGTAGAGGTGTGGGCCGCGCTCTGGCAGAGGTGGCGAGCCTGGCTTGTTTATGAGGAGGCAGCGGGGCGGAGGAGGATCCAGACACACAGGCTTGCACGCCCAGACTCGCCCATGGCGGGCTGGCAGCCTCCAGCCTCTTTGCAGGACTTCACCAAACCGGTTAGGTGAGGGGCAGAGAGCAGAAGGGGGCGGGGCTAGGAGGATGGGCGAGGAGGGTCAGGCCACCTCCCCCAGGCCTGTCCAGTGTCCCTTTGCCTACCCACACGCACCGTACATCTTGCCCTCGTCCGACAGGATGATCTTGCGCCGGCCGCAGGGCGGGTAGATGGCCAGGGCCTCCTGGAAGCTCTGCTCGATATCTGGGCTCCACACGCCCTCTGCATCGTTGTCCAGCCCCTTGTCCAGGCCCTCGGGCCCATCCTCCCGGGCTTCCCCGGGGCTGCTGCTGGCGTTCCAGCTGTTGGACGCTATTGTGCTGGTTGCTCTGGGCTCTGGGCCTGAGCCCACTGGGCAGCCTGAGCCTGGGAGGGACAGACACATAGGGATTAGGGCCAGCATCCTCTCAGACCAAACTGGCCCCCAGCCCCCACCCCCCCACCCCATACTGCACCTCCGCCCACAGCCCACCCCTCCACTCCCAACCCCACCCCCTGGGGCAGGTGCTCCAGGGTGCGGTGGAGGTCATCAGAGGTCATGCTTATTCAGAGCTGTGTGACCTTGGGTGAGCTACTTCACCTCTCTGAGCCCTGGTCCCATAAAAGGAGGAAAGGGTCTCCTTGAGGTTGGTAAGAACTAAAATTTAAATAAGATCATGACAAAGTGCTAACCACAACGCCTGGCACATAACACTCAAGAAGGTACTGGAGGTGACCATCATCATCAACAACAACAGTCCCTAATATCTACACAGCACTTTTGGGGGAGAAAAGCACTTTCATATTCATTCAATCCTCACACAACTGTAAGGCAGAGACGGCAAGGAGTGATGCCTCATTATTCAGATGAGAAAAACTGAGACTCATGAGGTCACGCAGGTACCAAAGGCATCATGATGAGCAAAGAGAGGAGGAACAGGATGGGGCAGAGCTGTTTCGGTGGCTCTCAGAGGGGCTCCTGGGCTCTTACTCTGCTGGCTCCTCCTCTAGATTCCCAACCAGGGACCCACATCTTTCAACTCTCTCCCCAGCATCAGTGTGACCTTGCTGAGGGATGAGGGGGCTTCTGACTTAGGAAGCGCATGGTCTCAACCTCCCCAAATTGACAACTAAGGAGATCCCAGCTAAGGAACCTAAAGTTGGGGCAGGAACTGCTCCAGGAACTTCGAGAAGGAGCTGATGAGCGAGCAGCTGAGAAGGTGCTGGGCCAACAGCCTTGCTCAACCCCACCCGCTCCCTCTATCCCACTTCCTGTTCCTGCACCTCCCCAGCCCCACAGCAGCCCATAAACCACCCACACGCCTGCCCCTGCCCTGTCCTACACTGAGGATGGGCCAGTACTCTGCAGAGTTCCCTGCATATGAGAGGCTGGATTATTAATTTAGACCACACCCAGCCAGTCCCCCCAACACACACAAGCCCACCCCAAGCCCCCTTCAGCCTCAGAGCTCATAAGCCTGATGTGTATAGGGTCTTGGAGTGTCTTAGAGCCCATGATGGCTAGATCCTGGGACTCTGTGCTGGGCTCCTAGAAAGCAGGGGCAGGGGATGAGGTAGGGAACCCCGTAGATGCTAGCGAGGAGAACTCTTTCCCCTCGGACATGAATTCCAGGTCTTGCTGAGTGGGTGGGGGTTGGATTCTCCTAATTGTTGAGGGAGGCTTGAGAGGGGGTCTCTTGTGGAATGAGAGGGTCTGAGGGCCTGAATGTACAATCAGACAGATGTAGAGTTTAGAGTTAATGTAGTTACTACTCATAGTGCCTGCTGTATTCCAGGAACTGTTCTGGCATTTTGCACACATTGACTCATTTAATCCTCACAATCACCCTATGGGGTAGACACTATTATTATTCCCACTTTAAAGATGAGGAAACCCAGGTACAGAGAGGTTAAGTAACTTGTCCAAGGACACACAGCTACTAAGTGCTAGAGCTAGCATCTGAATCCAGGCAGTCTGGCTTCAGTCTCTTATCCAAGTGGGGCAAGGGTTTAGGGCTGAGAAACCCTATCCCTAAAGGGAGAGATGGTCCAGCTATCATGGCAACCACCCTGATTCTGACAAGTAGGGTCCAGACCAGGGGTTCCCTTTAGCCCAAGTGGCTGCAGCAACCTCAAGGACCCCCACACTGCTATACAGCTCTTACTATAAGGTCCCCAAGGCCACCAGGAATACCTTCTCCTGTGGACAGTGGGCAGTCGGGGAGAAAGGAAGCTGTGCCCCTGACAGGACAGAGGGCCATGCTCAGGGTGCCCCTACCCCTAGCCTGTCCCTCACTCCAGGAAGCCTGTAGCTAGATCTAGATCTCGTGTACTCTCATTAGCCCCTGGGGCAACGTTCCTGGAATACAAATGTAAGGGGGCAGGGGTTTGCTGGGTGGCCCAGGGACTCCCATGTTGAGGTAGTTGAGATACAGGGCCTCTCCAGGTGACAGTGGGTCTGTCAGAGGGGAGGCAGAGGAGAAGCTACAACAGCTAGGATCCCTAGTAGTGGAGTCTTCAACTCAGCTCCCCTCAAATCCTTTCCTGAGGCCTCCCTCAGAGCAGCAGGGGCCCGGTCACATGGGGGGCCCTGGCAGCCCTAGACTTTTAAAAGCAACTTTCCTGCCTCCCCCAAGTCTCTGCCCACCTCCCCTCATCCAGGCCGTGGCCCCCCCTTCTCAGGGTGATGTCAGCCCCGCCCCGCCCCCCGCGGGAGCACTGTGGCCAAATATGGCGAACACAGCAGCGCTTGGGAGCTGGGACAGACTTGGGGGGGGGGCGGGGCGGGCTGCCCCTGGCTGGGACCGCTGGCAGCTGGTGAGGGGGAGGGGAGCTGAGGGGGCGGCTACAGGACGAGTCAAGGAGAGAAACGGGACCACCACCACCACCACCGTCCCTTCTGCTGACTATGCCTCGCTTCCCAGGAAAACGCCTATGGGCAGGGGCACCAATACAGTGGCCCGCAGGTGACCCCATACACAGCCATGCACAAGAGCACACATGTGTGAGTATGTGTGGGTGCCCAGGGTGACACCCAAATAAGAATATTTGTGCCCCCCAAGGCGAAGCATTCACATGGGCCATCGCAGCGGGAGCAGCACCAGGATGGGCTGAACTGAGGTCTCTGTCCCCACCGCATCCCTCAGGAGGGGTGGGAGTGGTACGTGTGAGGGACGAGGGCTGCTTGCTCTGGTCTTCCCAGAGACACTGCTGTGGGATGGGGAGCAAGGCCCGGCGCTTGCCCAGCCTCCTCTTCCTCGATCCCAAAGCACGGGACACGGCCTGGAGTAAGGGAGGAGGCTGCAGGCCCACAGGGACACTGACAGGGCTGTACCGAGACAAATGCGGGACTCAGGCATGGGGGAGGGGCAAGGAATCAAATGGGTGCTGGCTGGGGCAAGAGGGCACGCCATCTTCGGGTGACGGTCTCAGCCCAGGGTAGGGTCTCATCCCCTCCTTGTGCAGAAGGGGTTGGGAGGGTGGCAGTCCCCAGGCTGCTAGTTGACACTTGCCCGGGTGTCTAGAACCTCTGCTTTGCTGGGCTAGGTGGGGAGAGGGAGAAGACACAAGTGAGGGGCAGGGGGGTGGAGACTGAGGTGGGATGGGGCCTAAGACAGACAGGAGGGAAGGAAGAGGAGGGAAGGGAACATGAAATGGGGAGAGCCTGGGGTCGGGGTAAAGAGAGGGGAGCCAGACTGAGAGAGACAGAGAAGGATGAATGGAGAGACCCAGAGAGACAGACTGATAAGAGAACAGAAGAAAGAACAAGAGAGATGGTGAGAGCCCAGGAGAGTAAAGTACAAAAAACAACCAACCCAGCGAGAGAGAGAGGACAGACCTGGAGAGAGAACCACAGAGTGAGACTCACTGGGAGAGGCAGAGACCCAGAGAAGGGGAGGTCCAGAGAGAGACAGACAGAACAGGCAGCATGCTGGGGAGGACATCAGCTCTACAGACAGCGTCAGTGGGGGTGGGGTGAAGGAAGAAGGGAGAGAGAGAAGAAAGAGACCCAGAAAGGCGGAGGCACAGATCAAGATCCAGAGAGACGGGACACGCACAGAGGGGGAAAGGCCAAGAGACTCAGACAGAGCAGTGAGCAAGGGGCAAACCAGGAGAGAGAGGAACAAAGACAGAGATACAGAGGAAGGGAAGGGACAGGGAGACCCAGAGGTCAGCGGAGACCCATAGGGAGAGAGTGACAGGGAGGCTGTTGCTGGGGGCCGGGGTCAGTCACCATAGGACCATGTCCAGGACCTCCCAACTTCTGTCCCACTTGCTGCCATCTCCCTCTACAGAGGGCCCATTCTCACATGTCCCACCTGCACACCCGCCAACAGGGCTGCAGCCCTCCTGGGAGCTCACTCTGCCTGCACCTCAGCCTGACTCTGCCACACCTGCTTCCCCTCTCCAGGGCCCTCAGCCCTCAGGGTCAGAAGGCGCCCTGTGTGGCGACAGGGATGGGGGCTAGGAGGCTACGTGAGCAGGCTTTGGGGCCCTGGGGGAGGTAAGGGGCACCTGGCTGTCCACTCCCCACCCTGGGGCCAGACTTGCTGGAAGAACTGGCTGGACAGCTCCAGGCAGTGAGGCCAGAGCTGGGGCTGCTGCAGGGGCCCTGGACCCCCACCCCAGGGGCCCTGTAGGCTCCAGACCTTCAGCCCTACTTCTCCCTCCCAAGGAGGAGGAAAGCACAGGACTGAAGTGGGGCCTCTCCCAGAGCTGCTGCCCTGGAGGGGGCACAGACCAGGCAAGTGGGGCAGGTGGGTACATCCCTACCCCCCTCCCTCCCACTGTGCCAGCCCCACTGGGAGGACAAGCTGAGGCAGTGACCTTACAGGGTTCAGTGGCCAGCAGCTGTCCACTCTTGCAGGGACACCAACCCCCAAAGTACTCTTGGTGGGGGAACATGGGTAAAATCAGCAGTTGCATCCTGAAGCCCTTGCCCCCAAACTTGGGCTGGACTGACCAGCCAGGGGAGTGGGGATGGGGAGGGTAGTTGTGAGGGCTAGGGGAGCCTCCCACCCTCTCTGCCTCTCCCTTCCTCCTCCCTACCCACCCCCTCAGCGGGCCCAGCTGTTCTCCAGCTGCCAGAGGCTCCCAGGGACCAGACTGGAGCTGGGGAGGGGGTGGGGTAGTGCCTGCCTCCCCCACCTCCAGCCCAAGAACTCCTGAGGGACCCTGCCAAGTGGCCACACCCTGCCAGGCTGGGGAGGCAGCACCCTCCTCCCTGGAGCAGGGTCTAGATTTTTACAGGAGGAAGCAATTTGCAGAGCCCACTAGGAGGGAGGTGGGGGCCTCCTCCCCTCTCCCCCGCCTACTAATGTGCTTCCAATTTGGGACTCAAGGCTCTCTGCCACTCCCCACTCCCCCCACCATCACTATTTGGGGAAGGGGCTTCTCAGGGAGCAAGGGGGGTACCCCCTTTCTTCTCCAAAGCTCAACCTTACTGTCACCTCCCCCCAGAGCAGTGAAGGGGTGTGTGTGTGTCGGGGGTGGCGAGTGTAGATTCAGAGCCCTCAGGCTCCATTCTGGACTCCGTCCTGTCTCCTCATCTTGTCCCACTCCAAGCCAGGGCCAGGGATCCAGTGAGGGACAAGTTGGGGGAGGTGGCAGGGATGCAGCCAACAGGTAACTCTTGGTGTCATTCTCTCAATTAACACATCAGTGGGCCACGCCTCAGCCTCCTTGTACTCTGGGTCACCCACTGAGCTGCCACCAGTCACTCAGTCAAGTAAGCCCTCCATGACAGTCACAATGTCTCCCTGCCCCTCCTCTCTCATACTATTACCTGCACCTCTCTCCTTCCTTCTGTTTTTAATGGTACTTTTTCATGGTCCTCCACGTAGAGACCATACGCATCAGGGTTACAGGCCCCCATATGTGTCTCACCATATCCCACACCCTCTCTGGCACAGCTCCAAAGGATGTCACCCACACTGTCCGACAGTCCCAAACAATCTCAGATAGTGGCCACCCACAGAGGGGTGACTGTTCTCAGTCACACCCCACACAGTTTCCCTCGCACACAGCACTGCACATAGAGTTTCTTTCCGGTGCTCACAGTTTCACCTACACACCTTATTTCACACTCAGCTTATCACAACAGTCTCTCAGCACACATATACCATGCCATATACAGTCCACAGGGTCACAATGGTTTCTCCCTCTCTCGCTCACACACACACACACCGTATCATGGCATCACACAGAGTTTCTCACATAGTTTTTCTCATATGTAGTGTCATGTAGAGTCACACACACAGGTCATCAGTTTCTCACAGACCTGAGCCTATCTCACATACTGTTTCACACGTCTCACATCATAAGTGGTCATACCACAGCATCGTAGGTCACACAGAAGGTCACTCATTCTGCTTCTGTCACGCATATAGCGTTATATATAGCCACAAACGGCATCATACAATCATAGTGTCCCATAAACACCTTCTCAGACATACAAACACCACTGCAACTACATCCAGTGTCAGACCCAGGCACATACACAGATGGTCAAGCATATGGTTTCCTTCATACGCATAGAGACTGTGATACTCAATCACACACAGGGAACATCACCTGTACAGTTTCTCTCACATACACATGAAGTGTGACACACAGTCACACACTAAGAACGTCCCCTATACAGTTTCTCTCATACATCTGCAATCTCAGTCACATACAGAGAATGTCACACAGTTTCTCTTACACACATGAAGGCCACAAAGTCACAGAAAATGTCAGTTTCACTCATGTATCTAACCAGTATCACACAGACACACGCACAAACTTTTTACCTTGTTTTTCTCACGCATGTCCAGAACCACACAGTCTCACATACACGGAATGTCCCACTCGCGGTTTCTCTCACACACACATCCAGTGTCACACACAGTTTCCCTCTCATTTCCCTCTATCACTTCCTGTCCTTTCAGGCCTGGCGGGGAGTACAGGAAACAATCAGCACTCTAGGAAACCCCAAGGGCTGAGGCTTTGGGGATCTGTAGAGGGATGGAATTCTCTGGCCCTGGCCTCTAGCTCCCTGTGGGGTCCCTGAGGGAACAAGCAGAGCCCTTTCCCCTTCAGCCTCCTCCCCAGAGGGGCAGCAGCCTCTCCTGCAGACATCCCTCAGCCTGGCACAACACCAGGAGGGGAGGGTAGGACAACACTATAGGGACAGGGCTGAGTGTGACCTGCTGACCTCCCTAACTGACTAGAGAAGCTCCCCACAAGGCCCCAGGGCTGCCCCAGAGGTCCGTGGAGACCTTGATCCTCAAGGTCACCCCCTGGACTCCACAGCTTCTGCAGACCTCTGTGGGAAGAAGAGATAGTGACCTCCTGGCCACCTCCAGAGAAAGCTGGAGCATTTAGAGCCCTCCCTTGGCCTCGCACAACCAGGGACCTCCTTCACTCTCCTCTTACTGTGAGCTGACCCCTCTCCCCTTCCTGAGCAAGGAGGAAGTGGGCAAGACTGACAGCTTTTATTCCTTGCCAGCTTCCACACTCACCCTCAGGAGAACCCCCAGAGGGGTCCGGGAGTGGGGCAGGGGGACTGGCCATCCAAGTGGCCTCTGACCACCATCTGTGCCATCTGCCCTGCCAGATCCCACTAGGGCCAGACCCTACTGCCACTTCAGAGGGCAAGTTCTCCAACTTCATCCCGCCACCCTGTCCCTGGACACCTGCTGCTTGCAACCTTTGCAGCCAACTCAGCTGATCTAGTTGCTTCTCAGTCACCCCCCCACCCCGGTTTGTCCTCCCTGTCTTCCTTCGATCACCTCATCCTCCTCTCCAGACCCTACCAGGTTCAGATTCCATAATGGGAGAAGGAAGGCAGACTGGGAGACAGGGACTCGCAGAGGAGCTCAGAGAAAAGGGACCTGAGAAGTCATCTATTCCAAGCAGGGAAACTGAGGCCCAAAGGACCAAGATGACATAGCTGGTGAAACCCCAGCTGGGAACAGATCCCTAATTTCTTGACTTCCTCAGCTGAGATTCCTTCTGGTTCAAACCCCTGCTGAAAATTTGCATCCCCATCCCAGATATACTGAATCAGAGTACACTTTAACAAGATCCCCAGGTAATTCTCATGTATAATATATTTTGAGAACCACTGCTCTACTGGAGACTCTCAGAACTGGTCCCTAACCAGTAGCATTAGCATCACCTGGGAACTTGTCAGAAATGCAAATTCTCAGCAGGGGTTTGAAGCCCTGGTTGAGATGTCTCCCCGTGGTTTTAATGTTTTCCCAACTGGCAGGGTATATGTACCAGGGTCTGCAAACTTGAGGGTGAGGGTGGACAGCAGGGCCCAGGGCCCCTGATGCACATAGTCCAGGTAGACTGCTCACTCCAGACAGCTCTCTCCTGCCAACCACTGACCATCCTACTCAGCCATTCGCCAGCCCAAATGTGCTAATGAGCACTAATTATGGCTCCTTCCCCAGGGAGTCAGGGAAGGCCCATGAGGCTGAGACTCCCACTGGCTCCCAGCCCTCCTTCAGGAGGGGGCACCCAGGACCCCTAAAGTCACCTTCACCAGACAGCCTAGTCCTGTGAAGATACATCTGTCCATCCTCTGCCCACAGAGTGGGCAGGGAACCAGAAGACCACAGATCCATGTCCTGGGGGGCACGCCCTAGAGAAGGGGTCTTGGAAAGGGAGCTACAGGAATCTGGAAGGGTTGGGGACATAGTTCCCCCAAATCTCCAACCTTTTGGGAGCTCCACTTTCCCTCTTTGCCCCAGGCTGCCCCCAGCATCCCTGCCATGGAGGTGTGCTACCCCTGTATTGGGGTGGAGCGTGTGTACACAGAACTAGGCCGCAGGAGACCAGATACACAGAGCCGCCATGGGCACCAGCCCCTTGAGGCTGTGTCCAGCCCCTACCCCCAACCCCTACTCTCCTGGACTACAAGTCCGGGCCTGACCTGGTTCTGCCTCTACCTGGAGAGGGGGAAGACACAGACAGAGGCGGCCCCTGAGAAGCCCTCGCCAAGGCCTCATTCCCCCTTGCCCCGAAACGATCTCTGGGCTTTGAATCAGGGCCCTTTTCCTGGAAAGGGGACAGGATAGGGTCTCAATGACACTGCCCTAGGGCCTGGCTGGGCTGGGAAACAAGACACAGGAAGGCACCTCCTGGCCCTCCCTCCCCAGGCAGGAGTAAAGGACACGACAGACAATGGCGGGGACCGGGGTGGGAGGTGGGGGGGCAGCTGCTCTCAAACCCTCTAAAGTTTAAACAAGGGCCCTGAGGAAGTGCGACGAAGAGAAGGCCCAAAATCCAGCCCCCTTGGAACCCGGCTGACCGAGCTCGGCGCTGGAGGCACCCCGAACCCCCACCCCAACGCAGGAGACAGATATGCAGGGAAACTGAAGCCCCTGACTCTCCGGGGGCTAATGCTCAGGACTCGCAGCTTTGCTCCCGGACGCCCTCCCCACTCTAGCGCAGCCGCGGGCACCGCGCGCCCGAGCCGGCCAGGGCGCCGAGAGGCCGGGCCCGAGGCCTGCGTGAAGCTGGGGCTGAGCCGGCGCCGGGAGAGCGCGGGCCGGGAGCCGGGAGTCCAAAGGGCGGCGGGGCCCAGGACTGGGCGCCCTGGGTAAGAGTTCCCCGCTAGCAGGCCCCCCGAACCGTGTGGCCCCCAGACCCTCGCTCTGACACCGCAAGCACGGACAAGCGGGGCAAGTGATGGCACGGAGGACACTCTCCCGGTTCCCCTACCTCCCCGAACTAACTCGTCCCGATCGCGGGGTGGTAGTGGGCGGGGCTTCCCGGAGAGATCTCACCCTTCCCTCCAAACTTCCCGGCACCCAGATCCGGGGCTCAGGCTCAGGCTGGACAATAGCTCGGGGCTCCAGCCCCCCTCGACTACCCCCCTCCATCCAGAACCGACCAACCAAACCTCCTCTCCCAGCAGGGCCTCCTCCCGGCGTTCGCCCGGCTTACCTGGTCCGAGCTCGGGGGGGCGCTCCGGCCGGGCCGCTCCGCCGGGCCCGAGGGAGCTGAGAGGGGGGCCGGGGAGGGGGGTCGTGGGGAGGGGGCTGGCCGGAATGTGCGG